ACCATACAAAATATGTTCTGGACCCAATCCTGCATAAGGGGATACATCACCTTTTACAGGAAAGATAAATCAATGGTGCCAGGAAACTCTCTGAAGACAGACTCATAAAATTCAATCACATCTCTTTTTTCTTCCTTCTACTCAAGCTCCTCCACCTTCCTCGCCTCACCTTCAATATAATTCGTTAGTTCCCCCAGCTGCCGTCACGTGCACTTGACGTAGCAGATCGTTGGGGCTGCGCAGTCGGCGTCCCATCATGAGCTCGTTAGGCGACAGCATCACAGTTGAATACCGTCCGGAGTTGTATGCGTAGACTGCGAAGTCTACCCACACATTCCAGTCTCGTTGCTCGTGGACGCTCATGTACGTTGCCACACAGTCCATCCAGGTCTTGTGGAAGCGCTCGACTAATCCAACCATTTGAGGTCGATAAGGTGCGGGGTTGATCTGTCGTGCTTGGAGCAGCAACACAAGCTGTTTAATGACCTTTCCCGTGAGTTCGGGTACCCCATCCATTAGCAGCTCACGGAAAGGTCCGAGCCGCAACACGACATTACGCATTAAGAACGTCGCGACATTTTCGGCGGTGTGCTGCTGCACTGTAGCCGCTACCGCATATCGAGTAACATACTCGACTGCGGCGATCGCGAACCTCTGGCCCCCGTCACTGGATGGCAGTGGGCCTGCCACGTCCAGAGCCCACCTGTCGCCCACATCACCGCCCTTGGTGCTTCTTAAGGGTGGTATGATTTTCCTCGGCCTCGCCTTCCTACTGCCGCACTCCTGGCACCCAAGTACCCATCGTTTCACCTCCCGCTCCAAATTCGGCCACCAGTAAGTTTGTGATAGTCTTGCGTAGGTATGGGGAGCTCTCAGGTGCCCCGCCCAGACCGAATCGTGTGCCTCTTCAAACGCTATTGCCTACAACGCCGGGGGCAGTACCACTCGCCGCCCTTTTGCCGCCTCGATCACGGCCATCCCAAAGGCACCGTGACCTGCATGCCCCGGTGCTCCCCGATCTCGACCAGCCGTTGAACCAGGCGGCTCTTCGCTTGCGCCTCCATTATGTCGCTGTCAGTGAGCTGCAAGGTTGGTCCGCTCACCTGGTGTTTCCCCCATGATTCACGCTGTTGCTGATTGCACGCCGTCCCGCGTGATATCTCGACTGCCACATTTTTCTTCGCACGCGTGGCGTTCTCCAGTATCACTACCGGACTCGCCGTTCTTCGAGGTAGCCCCAATGGCACCAGAGCCGTCGTGTCCGGTACTCAATCGGTGGCTTCTTCTTGCCCCAAAGTCGACCTGTTTGTTCCTGGTGCCGCCGCCAAATCAGCGCTCTCGTTGCTTGCCGCCGTGGTGTCGCTACTCGAGTCTGTTACCAAAATATAGGTCGATGGCATGTCGCACGCGGACCCATCGTTTACTTCCGGTCGTGATTGTACTCATCCAGCCATTGCGTGGCGGTCAGCCTCCTTGTGGACTCGTCCTCTAGTCTCTTTGCTGCCGCCTCTAGACGTCGACGTACAGAGCGAGTAAGGGGCCGTGGCATCTCGGTGCTCGTCTTTGCTGGCCTTAGCCTTCGGGTTCGTGTGTTCATCGGCGTCTTTGACGACTTATGTGTTACTATCATATCCAT